CTAGCAAGGAGATCGGGCTGAAACTATAGCTACAAGCTATCCAAGGATGGTACTATAGAATGTCACCTCAAGGTAGGCCTAGTGGCGTCATCTCTTGGTTAGGCCGGAAACTTATCAATCCACCCTCGTATATGAATAATATTAAGATTAATATGAGATGTGAGGCTGTATTAATTAAACAACTCTTTATGACTTTATAGTGGCAATTAACAGTCAAGGTCATCCGCCGCCGTAGGGAGGCAATTGATGTATAATTAGGAGGGAATTCGACATACCGAAAATTTTAACCCTAATTAAAAACAGGTATATGGGAGGGAACTAGGCATTATCCAATTTAAAGTTCCACTAAGAACCCCAATTTAAAGCTGACAATGTTGCAGTTTTAGCAATAACTAGCTTTTACCCCGCAACTTCGTTAGTGTAAAGAAAAGTTCCATAGTTTCCAAAATTAGCACGTACGTAGATAAAAAACAGACAGACGGACAAAAACATTTTTAAAGGTCATTTGTGAAGTTATTTTGTAAGTGTATTTAGTTGCGGGGGCAATTAATTTCTTTCTTTTTTTTTAATTGAAAAACTGGAATGTATTTGTGAAATGAACTAACAACTTTTTTAATTAAATAACTTTTTGACAATTTTTTCTAATTAAGAATACACAACTTTTTACTTTTCATTGCTAGATAAGATAAGTTTTGCCTTGAATAGAACATTGTGATACAAAAGCGGTAAGTCAGAAAATAGATAGGTACCTATGTTACACAAAAATTGATGTAAATTTCATTTTATGCTTTCATTGATGGAATATTGTAATCATAATTTTTAAATAGAACATGAAAATTTGGCTGCAATATAGAAACTTACCGTACTGGTTTATTTTAATAAATGAAATTTATGATGATGTCATATATAAGGAGCAGTACTCATTTAAATAAAACAGAAAAAATTATAGCGAAAGTAAATTGGTACAACGGTTGCATTTAAATTCGTTTTAATTTTATAGACATCATTACCTTCAATTTAGGATATGTAACTGAAATGTGAAGTGATGTGAATCTTTAGTTTTAATAGCTCCTTTAATGTTGTTTTGCTAAAACACGTCTACTTCAAAAATGATACCGACAAAGTACACAGTTTACCAAAATAAAATGCGAAACGATAATTACGAGACGCTAGAGGAAACCTACCTTGTGTATAGATACAAAACATATTATTTATGTGGGTACAATATTTTTCTTGTAGTTCAAGATCAACAGAATAGACTTCTTCAAGGAGTTTTGTACCTCTAGTATAAAAACAAAGTGATTTTCGTGTTTCAGACCAAGTAGACACATTTGCGTCCGCATTGCAATCAGGTGTAATTTTTTTAATTTGAAGTGATAATGCATCGATGTTGTTTAATTACGTTGCTTTGCCTGCAGTTAGAACTGCAAAGTTGCGCATTTGGTTATTATCGTCAAAAAACTCGCAATAATGTATGTAAAAATTTTAAAGATTATAATTATATTGATACTAGTCCTAATTGTTGGTATAATCCTGACGTTGATGCCACCGTTGTAAGTATAACTAGAATTAAATTAAATCAGATACATATATGGGTATTAGGGTGCTTCAAACAACATTTTTAATTTTTTTTTCTAAATTTTTTTATATATTACAAATTTCAAAAATTGTTCTCAGTACGTAGTGTAGGTGGCAGCACACATGATAATAATAAGATAAATGAATTAATCGTATGATTACAAGTAATCATGGATTATAATTTAGTTCCATATTAGTTTATACATAAAAATACAATACTTACTAATAGTTTGAGTAAAAATTTTGAGGATTATGCAAAAAAAAAATAATTGCAAGCTATTTTTGCAAATTTCAAAATTTAGTAATTTTTATAAACTAATATGGAACAAAATTATAATCCATGATTACTTGTAATCATACGACTAATTCATTTATCTTATTATTATCATGTGTGCTGCCAACTACACTACGTACTGAGAACCATTTTTGAAATTTGTAATATATAAAAATACAATACTTACTAATAGTTTGAGTAAAAATTTTGATGTTTATGCAAAAAAAGAAAAAATAGCTTGCAATTTTGCAAAATTTAGTAATTTTTAAATGGCCGTAACTAGTCTTTTTGTAAAGATAATCATACTTTGTCTTAGAGTTTTGTAAAGCTCAAAGACTCAACTTTGAGAATATGAAACGATTTTTTAAAAAATTGCGTAAATTATGTGTAAATTCAATTTAAAACAAAAAA